CACCCCCGACCCCCCCCCGCCCGTCCCAAAGCCCCCCAGCAACTTAAACTTCTGCTATGACTTCAGCCACGCAGAGCAGTGAGCTCCTTCCTGCATCCCATCCCCCCCGCCCCTGCCCCCCCCAAAATCAAGCCCCTTCCCTCAGGCTGTGTCCTCCAGGACAAGCTCAGGCCCTGGCTGGGGGCTTGGGAGCGTGCTGCCTGCACCTTGAACCTCCTGCCCTTCCCTGCCTGGGTCCTGTCCTCCTGCGAGCGCACGGGGCTGAGCCATGGAGTGTCAGGCTGCTGCTCAAGCCAGATGACCCGGCTGCTTTGCCCCCTGCCCTGGGCAGGCACGGCAAGATATTTTCCAGCCAGCCAAACCCCTCCGTGGCGGCACTGACCCCCCACCGCAGCCAGGCTTTGGGCAGAGAGGGCACAGATGCGGTCAGGGAGAAAGGTACAGGCAGCCCTGGGACAGCTGAGGTGGGGAGCAGCACTACAGAGGTACGAAGCTGCACTGCCCGGCTCTCCCTGTCAGCATAGGGGATCCTTTCTGGCCAAGGGGTTAGAAAAAGGATAAAATGCCCTTCCCGCTCAGTTTGGTGAGCAGAGGGCATTGCCGGAGCACGCTGCGCCTGCCCGTGCCGCACCAAAAGGTTTTCCTGGCTCCTGGCAGGGGGGTTTTGGGGGCACAAACCCCCTCTCACTTCGGTGGGGTGGGGGCTCGCTGCTGCCGTGCCCGCTGCGAGCAGCCCACCCGGTGTCGTGCCAGTCCCGGTGCCTTCTCCCACCCTGTGTGGGTACTTGCACACTTCAGCCACACAGCTGCACCGCGACCAGCTACCTCCTCCTGAGCCCTGCCACATCGCCCAGCCCCGTGCCTGCAGCTTCTCCGGTGGGTGCCGGGGTCACGACTGCAGCCGCCAGTCCCCCGGGGCTCTGGCCGTGCCTCCCTCCGCCTTCTCTGGTACGGGGACAATAAACACTTGGGAGAACTGCGGGCCGTGTCCTTTCCAAAGGGCTGGGGCAGGGGTCGCGCTGACGGCGGGGGGAAAAAGCGGCCGAAGCGCGAAGGGAGCGGGCGGGTAAGGGGTTTTTCCTTTGCGCTGCTGAGGGGCAGGCCTGGAGCCAAGGCCTCTCTGAGGG